CATAATTTTGTACTCTGATTACGTAAATCTGTTACTCCCCCACACTGGTCACAGGAAACACACAAAACCATGAAAAAAAGTGCCACTTATAGTCCGAAAATTACGGTAGTTTCAACTCAGATCTCTCCTTTTTAAAATCTTCTCTAATAGTAATAATGGTAGAAACTGTATCTCTCTGAATGTGACAACAGCTGACCTTAACACCGCCGCTTCTCCACATCTTAAAAGCGCACACCCCCACCTCTTCCATCTCTCTTTCTCTCTCACTTTCTCTGTGTTTTTTTGGCCTCCTCCCTCCTTCTTCTCTCTGTCCTTTCTCTCTTTGTACGTGTGAATGGTTTTAGTCCTGTTTAGTTAGACCTGGTTTAGACCTGGTTAAGACCTGGTTTTAGTCCTGGTTTAGTCCTGGTTTAGACCTGGTTTAGTCCTGGTTTAAACCTGGTTTAGTCCTGGTTTAGACCTGGTTAAGACCTGGTTTTAGTCCTGGTATAGACCTGGTTAAGACCTGGTTTTAGTCCTGTTTAGACCTGGTTTAGACCTGGTTTTAGTCCTGTTTAGACCTGGTTTAGACCTGGTTTTAGTCCTGGTTTAGACCTGGTTAAGACCTGGTTTTAGTCCTGGTTTAGACCTGGTTAAGACCTGGTTTAGTCCTGGTTTAGACCTGTTAAGTTTTAGTCCTGGTTTAGACCTGGTTTTAGTCCTGGTTTAGACCTGGTTTAGACCTGGTTTAGTCCTGGTTTAGACCTGGTTTTAGTCCTGGTTTAGACCTGGTTAAGACCTGGTTTTAGTCCTGGTTTAGACCTGGTTAAGACCTGGTTTTAGTCCTGGTTTAGACCTGGTTTAAGACCTGGTTTTAATCCTGGTTTTAGACCTGGTTAAGACCTGGTTTTAGTCCTGGTTTAGACCTGGTTAAGACCTGGTTTTAGTCCTGGTTTAGACCTGGTTAAGACCTGGTTTTAGTCCTGGTTTAGACCTGGTTAAGACCTGGTTTTAGTCCTGGTTTAGACCTGGTTAAGACCTGGTTTTAGTCCTGGTTTAGACCTGGTTTTAGTCCTGGTTTAGACCTGGTTAAGACCTGGTTTTAGTCCTGGTTTAGACCTGGTTTAAGTCCTGGTTTAGTCCTGGTTTAGACCTGGTTAAGACCTGGTTTTAGTCCTGTTTTAGACCTGTTTTAGACCTGGTTTTAGTCCTGGTTTACCTGTTTAGACCTGGTTTAGTCCTGGTTTAGACCTGGTTAAGACCTGGTTTTAGTCCTGGTTTAGACCTGGTTAAGACCTGGTTTTAGTCCTGGTTTAGACCTGGTTAAGACCTGGTTTTAGTCCTGGTTTAGACCTGGTTTAGTCCTGGTTTAGACCTGGTTAAGACCTGGTTTTAGTCCTGGTTTAGACCTGGTTAAGACCTGGTTTAGTCCTGGTTTAGACCTGGTTAAGACCTGGTTTTAGTCCTGGTTTAGACCTGGTTAAGACCTGGTTTAGTCCTGGTTTAGACCTGGTTAAGACCTGGTTTTAGTCCTGGTTTAGACCTGGTTAAGACCTGGTTTTAGTCCTGGTTTAGACCTGGTTAAGACCTGGTTTTAGTCCTGGTTTAGACTTGGGTTCAGTCCTGATTTAGACCTGGTTTAGTGTCCGGCAATGAGTGTAATTACCAAAAAAAAAACAAAACAAAAAACAATAGCCCAAAATGTGAAATCAGGAAAATACCGCCGTGTAATCCATTTATTTCAACAAAGTAACTGTAACCGAATACAGTTACTCATAATTTGTACTGATTACGTAAATCTGTTACTCCACCACACTGGTCACAGGAAACACACTAAAACCATGAAAAAAGTGCCACTTATAGTCCGAAAATTACGGTAGTTTCAACTCAAATCTCTCCTTTTTAAAATCTAAAATAGTAATAATGGTAGAAACTGTATCTCTCTGAATGTGACAACAGCTGACCTTAACACCGGCGCTTCTCCACATCTTAAAAGCGCACACCCCCACCTCTTCCATCTCTCTTTCTCTCTCACTTTCTCTGTGTTTTTTTGGCCTCCTCCCTCCTTCTTGTCTCTGTCCTTTCTCTCTTTGTACGTGTGAATGGAGGGCCGTGGCTGGAGCGAGTCTTCCAGCTGTGCCCGGACGTCGCCCGCAGTCGCGGCCCCGTCTCGTCTTACGCCGCGCTCTATAGACCCACCTGGGCCCCGCTGCTCTCTGCTTTCACCTGTCGCGCCCCCGTCCGATCCCGTCGCCTTTGTCTTTGTAACCCCCCCGCGCCAACAAAAGAACGCTGGGTGTGACTGGATAACTTCTTAAACGCGAGCAGGCGGACAGCGTTTCGTTAATTCGATTACAAGGCGACAATGCGCGTGGAGCATCAAAGCGGGACAAGCGTTCTATTTACCGCTTAACCGTAGAAGTTTGTAAGGTTTAAGGAAAGTGTCGGAGGAGAATAGTTTATTGTGACGCGGCTGGATGGAGCTCGTCTCTAAGGAGATGGTGTTTTTATCCGACGGTGTTTGGTATTTATCCGTTTGTGAGCCGCTGTAGTCCGTCTGAGCTTTGTTTTACATTTGTGCTTTCTGTAATGTCATGTTATTGTCTATTAAGGTACGGTAGACACTTGTACATAATTCACACCGGGAAGGATCGTCCGAAAAAGTGAGCATCAAACTACTACTTGTTTTCCCAGTGGGATGAGTCTATTGACAAAGTCGATCTTTTCAAGTCTTTTGAACCATATCGCTTTTGTTTCTGGTTCTGATATTGTC